GAATTTAGTAGAAAAGTGGAAAAGGAATGTTAGTTAGATTAACATAGAGGTAACAAAGACAGTGTGTTTTTGCCTTTTAGATTTTTATTCTTCTTTTTGGCGAAATCTCACACTTTATTTTTGGCGAATATAGATGAAGTATGTAGTCGTAGGTCTCTGATATTTGTGCATCAGACATCTCCAAGCGACATACAGATTCACAAGTGCATGTTCCACCTTGTGCGTTCTGCTGACATGTTGTGACAGCACATTAAGAGCGTGTGTTGAGGTGTGTTTTGCTTTGAGAGCTCACAGAGGGCAGAAATCAACTATCTTCTCTGGATCTGACTGTGTATCAGGCTGAATCCCGTGTTTCAATGCGCATTAAACAGATTCCAATATTTTAAGAGCATTGCTGTCTGAACTCTTTTGTTTGCCATGAAAGTTTATTGTCTTTGTGTCATTTGTGCTTGATTAATGCCTGTATGTTCTTATATGTTCCTATAAGATTTTTTTTCTATAATACATCTTCAATAATTGTAGCAACAGCAATCAATAAGCATGCATTGTAAATATGAAATTCTACTGGTATTTTACAGAAGTATATGGATAAGTATATTAACATTACCCCAGTAGGTGACGCCAAGTGACTGTCACAATGAATGAGTCATTGAATCAGTGAATCATTAAACCAATTCATTCAAACACTGATTTGCTCAGGAACAAGTCGTATGACTGTGTTTATAAGTGAGTCTGTCAGACTCTGTTCCATGTCTCCTGTTGTTTTCCTCCCCCACGTGCTCCAGTTTGATTATTATGCCCATATTTGGGTTTTTCTGTTCCTGTCCCTATTTAGTTCTATCAGTTCCAGCTGTGTTTAATTAATTGTCCCATTAGCTCCCTTGTTATTTAAGCCCTGTGTGTCCCTGTTTCTAATGTCTACTGTTAAATGTAATTTCGTATTCTGTGTTTCCCGTGTTCCCTGCTTTGTTTTCATTAAAGCCTTTGGATTTTGCTTCACTCCTCGTCCCTTCGTTCCTGTGGTCCAAGTGTGAATCGTGACAGAGTCATTGAATAATTCACTCAACCGATTTATTTAAACACACTGGAACAAAAAAAGTTGCTGAATTCTGAACCACATACTAGCATACTACTATTACTATTTTTATAGTATCTTTCTATGACAGGAATAGTAATAGTAGTATGCTAGCATGCAGTTATGAATTCAGCAAGTTTCTGTTTAAGAGTCATTGAATCATCCGCTCAACTGATTAGTTCAAACACACTGATTCATTAAAGAAATAAAGTGGTTGTGTTTATAAGAGACAACTATGTTTCCTTCATAGAGAAAAATGGTATCTGTGAGGCTTTCCCATCAGGATTTAGACCGTATTGTGGCGGAGATGGCAGCTAATCTGAAAGGAAGTGAGGTAATTGTATTTAAGGAGTAGTAAAAAGGAGGGGAAAAAGTAAGAGTGGATTTGGGAAAGAAGGAGGATGACGGTGATTGCAAATATCTGTGGTAAAAAAGACGGAGGGTTATCCGCGAGTGCACACTTTGTATGGTGCTGGGCGATTGATTTAGTGTTTTGAGGAACGATTTCTCAGTCCAAACTAAGGGTACCAGTGCTGAGTGTGTTCGGATTCGGGAGCTAAAGTGTGTGTTGCCCAGGTACCCTCCTTCATAGCCTCCAATATGAAGGTAGAATTACGTCAAAAAGATTTGCATACGCAGGGTAAGAGTTGTGGAAGTGTACATAAGACTGTAAGCGTAAATTAAATTTGCATGCGCAAGAGAAGCTTTGTAACGGTGTAAATCGTGTTTCAAGCACAAGAAAATATTATTTGCATGGAGAGTCAGCGAGAGGCTCATTTGATTGGCTACAAGAAGAAGGTTGCCCCGCCCTCCCCCTCACGCTTGCAAAACTCAGTTAGTGAGAGAATCGTGCCAAAATTGTAAGCGCAGAGAAAAGAAAGACGGAGCTGTACATATCGGATTATTTCGGGAACTTTTTGCCCCACATGCACAAGTCATTTAGACATTTGCAACAGTTAGTGTTGTACACATACAGATTGGTTCTATGCAGTCAATCCGTTTTGCAGTTCTTTAAACTGTTGTTTTCGCTTGCAAATCACTGTTCACAGGCTTGCAGTGCTTTTGACCGTCTTTTGGCGAAAAAAACGTGCCAAAAGTGTAAGCGCGGAAAAATGGAAGTCAGAAGCATGCAGATCATATTTATTTTGCGTTAGCATGAAGCTGCAGTTTCACAATACATGAATTACACTTACGAATAACAGTAAAATGCTGCAAATAATATTTTCTTGCGCTTGAAACACGATTTACACCGTTACAAAGCTTCTCTTGCGCATGCAAATTTAATTTACGCTTACAGTCTTATGTACACTTCCACAACTCTTACCCTGCGTATGCAAATCTTTTTGACGTCATTCTATCTTCATACTCCAATTCATCTTTCAAAGCTGGGTTCCAAGCCGACATCTGGGAGTAGCGGCTCATCTGTACGGCTGGCTGGCTGGCTGGCTTCGTCTGCACATATACACACCACTTGCTCTTACCACTTTCGTCACACCTTCATTGTCCTTTGGTGTGTGAGTATATAAAAATTTTTTTCTATTATAAGCTGAACAGTTTCCTATATCAACCTTGTTTGAATGTATATTTATTTATTTATTTATTTTCCCTTTTCCTTTGTGGTTATATCCATTGAGAACTGGACTCTTGAATCTATCGAATTGAATGCGGGAATAGAGTGGACCGGCATCACCCGATATCCGCAACAGTTTTTTTTTTCCTCCCCTCTCTCTCTTTGACGAGGCGTAAAGGTGTACCAGTGATGTAATGATTTTTGTTGGACAATTGTACTTTGCGCATATGAAAATATAATAGGACTTTGAACTAAAACCCTCGATTTCTTCTGTTTTAATTCTGTTCATTTCTTTATTTTTGTGGTTGTTGAAAAGAGTGTAAACTTATTTTGGTTTGTAACCAGTGGCTTTTAGAGCTCATCTGTGTTTATTTTAAATATTGACAGGCCTACTCCTGTCTGGATCCCGGGGCCCACCACAGTTACAGTATCATAGTACAGAGACTGCTCTCATCAGAGTTACAAATGACCTGCTCTTATCATCTGATCGTGGTTGTATCTCTCTATTAGTGCTACTGGATCTTAGTGCTGTATTTGACACTATGGACCACAACATTCTTTTGAATAGACTAGAAAATTATGTTGGCATTAGTGGAATTGCATTGGCATGGTTTAAGTCATACTTATCTGACCGTCATCAATTCATAGCAGTGAATGATGAGGTATCATATCGTTCACAAGTGCAGTATGGAGTACCACAAGGCTCATTACTAGGCCCGTTGCTTTTCACGCTTTACTTATTACCCTCGGGCGATATCATCAGGAAACATGGTATTAGCTTTCACTGTTATGCTGATGATACTCAGCTCTCTTCACGGCCATATTCAGCATACCAATTTGCTAAACTAACGGAATGTTTATATAAAAAACTGGGTTGTAATTTCCGACAGTTAAGTTCTGAAAAAAAACATTAGTGTTAATTATCGGACCAAAAAACCTCCGCATGTAATAAACTAAAACACTGTCTAACACTTGAGGACTGCTCTGTCAATTCTTCGTCATACAGTTGGAAACCTAGGTGTGCTATTTGATAGCAATCTTTCCTTTGACAGCCACATTTCTAGCATTTGTAAAACCACATTTTTCCATAAATATATATCTTAATTATGACCATGCTCTCAATGTCAAACGCAGAAACGTTAATTCATGCATTCACGACTTCAAGCTTAGATTATTGTAATGCTTTATTGGGTGGTTGCTGTGCGCTTAATAAACAAACTCCAGCTGGTCCAAAATGCAGCAACTAGAGTTCTTACTAGAACAATTAAGTATGACCATATTAGCCCCGTTCTGACAACACTGCACTGGCTCCCTATTGAACATTGTATACACTTTTAAATCTTGCTAATTACTTATAAAGCCCTGAATGGTTTAGCTCAGTTCTTGAGTGAGCTCTTATCACATTATAGTCCTTCACGTCTGCTGCATCCTCAAAATTCTGGCCATTTGATAATACCTAGAATATCAAAATCAAC